TTTTTGACAGGCTGGAGCTGGATTCTGACATCATTGTAATCAACAGGGATATTCGTCCCCGCCTCTTTGATACGAACTGGTAAAAATCGGTTAGACCATAACATAAATGAAATGGAGAGTTCAGTCCAGGATATACCTGGGTCACGACGTGATGTAGTAGACTCAGGCGTGGGCCATTGCAACATTTGACAAAAAAGTCCGCACTAAACGAGCAACGACTCGGTGAGGTTCCTCTGGCATGGCAAAAACAGGACAAGGGCAGGGCCAATCACGCAACAGCATAACCTGCTCCTGAAGATAGGGTGTATTACGACCTTGTATCGCATCGGGTGCCTGTTCACGAAGTGATTTAGTTCTCTCCTCTTTATTTATTATGTGTTGTTCTTCAAGTTTTGTCATTCTCGCACAAGACAGATCCAACAAGAACTGATATACGAGTTTGAGAGTTTCGGATTGGGTCTGATAATGCTGTCTGACTTGTGTACAAAGAACAGTAAACTCAGGCAAGTCAATGGCACATGTGCGCACAGCGGCCTCATCTGCAAAATTATTCCCCTGAATATTCAAAGCATCAGCGTAGGACTGCGCATCTGTCAGCTTACGGTGTGATTTGATCTTACATGCATGAAAACGATGCGTCTGCCAAACCTGAGTGAGGTGTTCGATGAGATCCCAGTGATCTCTTTTATGTGGGCAGGCTTGGATCGACCCATCCTCAATTTTTAGGATAGTATTGATTACGAATTGAGAGTCAGTGTAGAATGTTACATGATGTGGCTCTGGAATATCATGTGACTGTTCGGCTGCCACGATTATCGCAAAAAGCTCTGCTCGGTTAATTGTCTGTAGCCCTGGACAGTGACCTGTGGCAACAACCTTATAGGAGACCCCACAATTGGATGGTGTTTCGTCTTCGCCTCTTCATTGAGATGGAGAAACATGGTTCAGGAATGTTTGTGAGAGACAGGAAAGGGACCATATAAAGAAAGAAAGAAATATCCCTAAGACTCATTGAGCCCTCCTATGGAGGGCTTTGACCCTGCATAGCAGGGGGCTTGGACCCTCAAAGGCATTTAGGGAGTGTTTGAAAGGTGATAGGACTGCATAGTGACTGCATCCGCCTCCCCAAGATCCAACATCAAGCTACCCCACCTGCTCCTCCGGCTCCGCTCCGCTCCTCCGCAGGTCTTCCACTTGGTGCCCACGTGGGATTCCACGGGCTTCCGCGGAACGGATCTGCCCGTGGGCACCGATGCGCAAGTCGCTCGGCGGGATGTTCGTTTGCCGCGGAGGTGGAGGGGTGAAGAGTCTCCCAGCATCTCCCAGCACTTCGTGAGTCCTGGAAAATGTTACAAAACAATTACTCAAGTAAGAAGGTTTGCAGGTTTTGGAGATTGGCTGGGTCAGACTGGACCTGTATAGATCAGTTTGTGTGGTCCCAGCACTTCAGGAGAGGTACTGTCCCAATTCGTTGCCACCAAAAGGATACCAAAAGCAGGCAAGACGCCCACTGCTGGCGCCCCAGATTTGGGGTTTGCCTCTTTTTGCAAACCTACGTCCACCATCGCTCCAATCTTCACAAGTCGACACAAGCTTCACAGAATCGCAAACCCTTCCATCCCCACATTCCACCCCCAGTCGGAGTGGTTTACATGGACACCCCTTAATTCACTGCTTTTGGGGGGGACATCAAAATAGCTGGACACCCAACTGGAACAGGATCCGTCCTGGATTGGATTGGATGTCTCCCTCCGCCATTCCGAGGACTGCTCCGCCATCTTGGGCACCTTGGGTGAGGCCTTCTTGGTCTTCCCGGGCGCCGAGCCGGAAGTGCTCACGAAAGCAGCTGCACGCTCGGCCGCCCCTCGGTGCTGCGTATGGCTGCGTTGTGAGCAACGCGAGCAACGCGTGGGTCTCCGGCGTTCATAGCAATGCATGCAGATAAATTGCCATAAGATATCTTTAAGGTAGTTCATACAGATCTATATCACCGGGATATACCAAGTACTATGATGATGAGATGGGGCGAAGCTGCACGGCGTTCGCATGGCGATCGACCTGCAGGTCCATGGGACCAAGAAGTCGCAGAATAGCATTTATAAGTGAAAATCTAGAGGAAAACCATCGTTTGGCTGAACGATCGTGGTTTCCTGTAGATGGTCCTGAAAAATTCCAAATCCAATCAGGGAAAACGGGTGGCTTCAGTCTGAGGCCATCCTACCACTGCTGAATGCGGAGCCTTCGGCTGAAAAGCCCTGGTTCGTCACCGAGGACAGCTTGTTTCGTCTCCAAAGTATACCCTGGGCCACCGAGACCCACTTGGCACCGGAGAAAAACCACGGGGGTTGTACCGGCACCCGACTTCACACCAGAAACCTGTGACAGGTGCCCTTCCCGACCCATAACTCGGAGACCGAACCTTGGGTTCGGTGCTGGTGTTCGGAGTCCACGCCTTCCGTCCAAGCCGGCCGGTTCGGGTCTCAGGTCAGGGTGTAATCCATCATCCACACCTTGAACCCAAGCCATGGAATTTGGGCGGCATAACGACATGACTGGGACTGGAGTATTGCACACATGGGATGTGTGCATCAACCACCCACTTTCACCCACTGGTTTCGCCACACATCGCCAAGGGCTGTTTGGAGCGTCTGGGCACACCTCAACTTGAGTGCGAGTGTGTCCTCGACCCAACCAGGAGCAGTGGAAGGTCTTGCGCGATCCAGAGGCTGCTGCCGACAAGGCAGACAGTGAAACAACACGAGCCTCCCTGACCCGGGGCTCCGATCGGCTAGGTCTCCTCAGAAGATGGTTAGACCCCTGGCACCCACCCCAACCATCTTCGAAACGGAGGTCAATGGAGGCCTAGGCTAAGTTCAGAACCAGGCAACATGTGATCCCAACCATACATGGCCTGACCTACGCTCTGGTGGGTAAAGAGAGGGGATGTGTCCGAACAGGCCCGAACATAGAGGAGTCTGTTCACGGTAGGTGGTCAACCAGGGTGCCCGGGTGATGACCCACATCTATCGACCCCATTCGACCCCTCGCCAGGTGGCAGCCGCTTGTGCTAGTGCCTTGGGGAGCTTTGACATACATCACAAAGTGAGGGGCCCTGAGATACACACACAAACACACGAAGCTCAAGGAGACACCAACACCCCCTATAGATCTAGTATCCGTAAACGGGCTCGATGGGAGTCAAAGAAGATGGTGATCTCAAACCACACGTGTTTGGTCAAGAGCAGACTTGCCTTTTCTCTATCGGCAAAACTTAGCCAACTGACCAAAAGGGAAGCACCAGGGCATCACCGTGAGCCGAGCCACGTCTATTCAGGCTGTTGCAGAACCTGATCAATGTGATGAGCTTTGCTACGTGGATCCCGATGCCGAGAGGCGTTGGTGGATCCTCACCGGCCATGCATAGTAAAGCAGTTGTTGAACGGAGGGAGTTTCGGCCGTTGAACTGTTTCCCCTCCGACAAGAGGTCACATGGATTTAGATGTTGGAGTAGAGAAATCTCTCATCTTGCATTCCAGCTCATGTGGTTCTAAAGGAAAAAAGCTCTTAAAGGGACCAGGCCATCCCCTTCTTCCATGGTTCTGCTTGGGTGGGACCCCCTGTCAGCACACCTGCAGCGTTGACCGTGCCAAGTGACCGGAACACAAAACGATCCGCGCTGCCAGGTGGGCACAGCTGGCAGAAGTGGCTCAAATGGATGTACCTGATGTGAAGAAGGGAAAGATGCCCGTGGCTTACGGTGGAAAACACGGGCATCACTTCGTTCGCTGTACTCCACTCTGACTTCGGTGGAGTACGAAGTGTTTCGAAGTTCTCCGGTCCCCCGAGAGGAGGCTCAAGGCGTCGCAGCAAGTCGCAGCGAGTCGCAGCGAGTCGAACTTCCGTGATGAGTCGAGCACGGTGCGTCGAGGCGCTTGCAGGGCAGCTTCCAAGGAACTGCGACGACGCATACACATCAGCCTCTTGGCTAAGGGTTCAAAACGGCTCAAAATGGTTCAAAGGTCATTCCAACGATTCCTCATAGCTTTCTTCAGGATTCCACTTAGTCTGACGACAAAGGTGAATTCCAGCTGCACATGGCTCCCATGGTGTATCACGTAGAGGGCATGGATGAATTGCCCCGACGCGACCCCGACAACAGCCCGACTTCCCGGTCCCGAACCAAACCATACAGATTGGTGAGAAGGTCCGGGCCCCTCCAGTCCGGATTCGGGTACGGCCCCCGGTCCCCGAACGCTACGGGTCCAGGCGGCCACACCGATCCTCTCGCCGACCGTCTTCCTTCCACCGAGTGGACCGTGGTTTCAACGAGTCTCGCCCGTTCGTCGACCCTTCTTCGTTTTGGGGAGAAAACGAAGACGGGCCGATTTTTTTGCGCATGAGGATGGACTTGAACATTGGTGTGAACATGGAGATGCCCTCCAAGGTGAGACGCGTCTCACCTTGCTCGCTCGGACTCTTTGGAACAACGGACCGAAAAGCATCGCATCGCACCGCAGGGGAGGTGGTCTACCTCCACGCTGGTGCTGGGCATTGACACATCGGTCACACATCGGACATGTTGATCTGAAGATCACGAGGGGACAACGGTGGATTCGACTGGGCCCTGGGATTCGACTGCTGGATGCAACGTGAATAGGTACGTACTTGGCACCAACCCCCCTCTATTCTACGGGATCTCTTCCTTTTTCCGGTGCCCAATGGCACGGGACCTTCCGTTCGGTAGGTTGCGGCCAAGACCATGAAGCAGCTCTCCGATTCAGGTGCCTTCGAAGGTCGCAGAGTTGGGGCTCAATGCCTCTGGTGGGTCGTGAGGGAACAGGCACCAGGTGTTCGTCACTTTTTTCGAGCCAAGACTGTGGCGCCAGGGCAGAACCTCACATCCAATCCCGGAATCAAAAAATCACATCAAAAACCAGGAGAAACCCATGGAGCGCTGGGTGCTTTGCCACCAATGACTCCATGTGTCTTCGTCTTCCATCCACGGGTTCGAGCTTGGGCGGTAAAGGTTGCAAACATGAGACTTCTCTCAACGAGGTGTCACACCCCCTCAGAGTTCAACGAGAAGTGTCCTGAGACAGTGTCACAGATTCGGGCAGGAAGACGAATTTGAATGTTAAACAGACCTGCCTGGTCCAGCTTCAGACATACTTTTGATGTTTCAATCTTTACTTGTGGATGATTGGACATCGAATCGAAGCGAGTTGAAACCATTCAAATCGACCGCGCCTGACTGAGCGCCTGAGGCTTGGTGCCGCAGGAGGCACAGGAGGCGTTGGAGTCGGAGCGCCGCAGCTCAGGCGTCTTTGGCGCGGCTCTCAGGTGGCGGGGAGGGGCTCTCGGGTGGAGAGGTGGGCCAGGGTGGCAGGTTCAGCCAGTTCATCTGTGATGGTATGGCCCATTCATCTACGTTTGAGGTGAAAAAAAGCGAAGAAAAACTAGCGGGTTGAGAGTAGATGACATGGAGTCCCCAAGTTTGATGGTTTTGATGGACCGCCATTTTTTCCAACACATCTTGGAGTCGCCGGTGCATCCATCCTTTGAAAGCACCGTAGATGTGGGTAGCCGGTTGTTCAACCTGCTTCGCCCGACCGACACCAGGCGGCGGACCAACCTCGTACGACCCGTAGTCGGTCTTGTGACCTAGTAGGCCATATATGGCAGTTGGTTGAATGGCTGGGATCTGGAAGTTGAGAAGTCATTCTGAACCAAAATGATGTGGACTTCCAATTCGGCCGCTTTGCTTCGGTTTTGTTAGCCGTGTCTTTGGAAATCCGAGGTGCATTGGCTGACTATTTCCGGAAAGACTCCCAGGTACCGGATCTGACTCAGCTCCAGCATCACTGCATTAAATCGACGCGAAACGTAGCTTCAGCATGCTTCAGCTATACCTGAGTTCCCCGACAGCTTTAATAAAAATGTATTGTAAATGGGAGTCCGGCTTTTTGCAATGATCTAAGAAAGGATTCTTGCATCACTTGGAATGCGAAAAAGGCATTTTTACATGCCATGTTCCCATGTTGGAATGATGCGAGAATGCGGCAGGATGCGACGGCGGATGTGTCCTCCATGATCATGAACAGCATGCAGATGAAGCTCGATGACGTGCATGCAACCTACGAGCCAGGGATACTCAGCTGGACGTGCAGTGCTGCACTGCATCTGCACGGTTCACCCGTGCGGCACTGCACCCGTCGCTTTTGACAGTAACAAGGTGCATCAAACTTAGGGACAAGAGGCTACTTTATAGTTATCGATACACCTCTTAGGGAAGCACCGATGTTACCTTACAAGCTGATCAACTTAGTTGACATAGTTGATCAACTTAGGGATAACCTTTATAGTAACTAAGGTGATCCGGGGAGCCGTCCCAAAACTCTCATGCCCCGCGGTGTTTTCCACCGCTCGCAACGCTCGTCCGACTCGGTAGACCGACCCGCGGTCATCCCGCGATCCCGTGACGAGGCCCTCAGTTGAGGAGACCTTTTTCGTCGGTGGAACGAAGGTCTTTTTTCCGAATCATCATGGAAGTGGACCACCCAACCCAACCCGGTTGCAGCTCCCGTTCTTATCGGGACCATGCCAGAGATGAGCGATGGATTCCTGACTGTGTAACTTGGGTCTGTCCGTTCTGACCTGTAACAGTCGGTAAAAGGTCTTGAAGGCCTGCAACTGAGCTATCAGGCAGTTACAGGCCCTGGTCATGGGAGATACTCAAAGTGCACCCTAGCCAAGCCCAAGACCATTCAATTCTGTGTTTTTTTAGATCCGTAAAACCATGATTCTTGGAATCCCAGGGTGTAAGTCAAACACGGCGCTGGGGCAGATCCATCGGACTGCAGTGCCCCAGTGGCCCACTGGGCGCCAGGGCGCAACAGGAGGAACTTCGGCAAGCGTTGGATGAGGCGAAGTCGGAGGCAAGAGACTTGAAAGCGACGTCGGAGGATGGGAAGATGGTTGAAGTCGAGCGAGGAATGAAGTGAACTTCCCCAGAATTGGTTTCAGGAAAAATCCAAGCCTCCAAGCAATCGTTTTGGTGGGGAAGACCAGGGTTTTGCTGCAAATGTTCCCTTAAACCAATTCATTGAGAACTCCTATCTTCAGCATTCACAGTCCACAAATCTTCGGACCATTTTGTGCGCTGGCGGCTTCAGGTACATCAGATGACGAAGAAGGTGAAGCAGCTTGAGGAGGATCGCTCTTGTGTGCTGTTTGTGGGTGGCTCAGGCCTTTTCGTGGAGGTCCAGGAGTACACTGGATTTGAAGAAAGCAGCTTCCTTGAATCTTTGCTTTGTTGCTTCATTCAGGTTAGATGTTGTGTTGCTTTGACGCAACCGACACGAAAAAAAAGCGCGTCCAAAGGGACGCGAAACATCCAGAAGCATCTCCATCCGTCGTGAAGAATGGAGTTTAAAGAACTGAACAGTCACCCACCCTAAGAATCAAAGAACCGCCGGTGAAGGTTTGCTTTGGGTCCAAACCCCTGCTATCTCAGCAGCAGGATCCAAACCCTCCAGTTCAGTGGTCCAGGTCCGCTGTATTTCTCTGAGAGAGACCACCCAACCGCTGCGTTTCGCCAGATGCGACTCGCCAGGAGAATCAAATCTTGGAGTCGAGAAGTCGCCAGGAGAGTCTTCGGCAAGTCGTTCTTCAGCTACCGCCCTCCACGAGAAGTATCAACATACCCAACGTACCGAGCTACACGAGCTACTGATCAATGACCGAATCGAGCTACGAGTGAAAACCACGTTCCTCTTCCTGCTCTTCGGAAGTTTTCACCTCGTCCTGCACTGATCCATGTTGGCCTTGAGACACTAGCACGCTCGCATGGCGGGGTTCGTCAGCTTGCCGTTCGTTGTCCGTCAGGACTCGGGCAAGCTGAACGGCAATGACAAAGAGGCCGAGCTCGAAGCACTTCGAGGCGCGGAAGGTCAAACGGCCCCTCTGCGGCAGCGGTTTCGGACGACGGTCCGAATGAGGCCATCCATGAAAACCGCCCAAAAGATGGTGACCCAGTCAGGGGGACCAGAGCCTCCAGTTTCATTTAGACTCTTGATAAGAGGTTATTCCACGTCTGGCGGACGTGTATGAAACAAGAGTCTACATGATAAGGGGTGAGCTCTACCAGGTGAATGAATTGGCCATAAACCATGGTGAATGTGGACATAGAGTTCAATTTCAGTCCGATTGGGATGCTTACCGAGACACAACCGATGGGACTGGCATATGGGGATCATAGGGATGGTTGATTCCAGGGGTTGACCATGTAGGTCCACAACTGGATCTTCCAACGACCCCACGACATGTTCAATATTGTCCAATGTCTGCCGAACGACTGGCTCCAAAATGGATGAAGTTCGCCAGGCAGGTCGCGGTTGAGTTCTGACATGCCATGTGAGCCATGGTTGGTGTCAGGCGTCATGGCTGGTGTCAGGCTCCTCCTTCATCGCTTCTTCGCTCCAGATCCGACCCTCGGAAGATCCGATCGGACCATCCGACCACAGGCGACGTTCCGGCTGATCGGGCGGCCGCAGGTCAATTGTCCGCGAAGGATGCGGAGCTTTCTGCCAAGGCACGAAGTTGGGCACGAAGTCTGCAGGTTCTTGAACTCATCTTGAGGACCGAAACCAAGTACGGTTTTTGGACACCTCACCTCTAAGAGGCTATTTATAGACACCTCTTGGTGTCGGTCCTGGGTGTCTGGATGTCTAATTCATCCTGTAACACTCTGAACGACCTTCGGTGCTCGTACCAAAGTTCGGTGCCCGCAGCCGCTGCCCAGCTCGACGAGCGTTGCCCGTCGTCGAGGCCAAAGAGTTGGAGGCAGCGTCCATCCGCCGGAAAGAAGATTTGGAGGCCAAGCCTTGAGAAGAATGTCGAGTGGAACTTGAGCTATGAGAGATGTCAAGTCCCAGGTGGTTGTTATTAGGTGGCTGTCAAGACCTTCCAAAGATGCGTTTTTGTTTGGTTTTTCCCATTAGGCACCACTGAAAAGGGCCTGCCAGCGTCCTACTTCTCGCCGCTTTACTCTCTCGTCGCCGTCTCGAGTCTTCACGTCAGGATCAAGCGCAAGCCGCGAAGGACGGAGACACCCGTGGCCTCCGAATGTGATGTGTTGAGTAGGACACGGCGACCGAAGAGGTGATTCAGTGAAGCATTCAACATCCCTTCGGAAACTTCGGCTCTCAGAAGCAAGTTGATGGCGAAGAAGTGTTGCATGTGCCATTCTTTGCTTAACATGCCAACTGGATGCACTTCCTATCGCAACGGCACCGTTCAAGGGCCGATGACTCGAGCCTCGCGTATCAAGGACTTGGCTGCTTTGAATCGCTTGGAGAAGGCCTTGCATCAGGCGCCGACGGGCTAACAGAAAGGAGTTCATCAACTACTAGTGATGCCATCAGCATGCATCAGCCTTTTGATGCAAAGCCTCATCTTCGAAGCCTCATCAAAAGCCTCATCAGCCGGTATAGCGTAGATCCAATGCCTCAAACGACGCCTCAAACAACCCGTCTCACGCGATCGACGGACCCAGGCGCATGCCCGGTTGGAGGCGAAGCGGGACGTTGCGACCGAAGGGCTGAGCGGCTGAGTGGACCCAAAACATGCGCACAGGATGTGGATCATTAGTATTCTTGATCGCTTAGATGTTTGGTTTTTTTGGGGGAGGTTGGTCTTCTTCTACTTGGTGTTTCAAGTCCTAGACCGGCTTGCATGATAGAGGAATCACCGATAAGGGCGACAAGTGAATCGAATCACTTCTTACACTTCAAAGATCGATGCTAAAGGGTGGGGACCACCTGCTGCGAGGTGTTTTTTCTTCGCAGCTGAGATGCGCTCGTGTTCCTCACGCTTCAACGTGCGCTGGCGGGTGCGGCGCGTGGTTGTTGCGCTGACGGTCACCACCGAAGCGTGAGGCGCTGGAGCAAGAAAAGCTCTTGCTTCAAGGAGAACTGAACGAGCTGAAAGCCAGCCATCAGCCTCAGCAGCCTCAGCAAGCCCGACCTGAGAGAAGTGTTGACATGTGTTCACCCACCATGCTTGATCACGAAAGGTAGCGGTTACGCTACCTGAGTTTTCCTTTTGCTTTAGCAAAAATGTATTAACCCAGAGCTGCAGCCTATCTCTCGGAGAAATGGTCCCCGACATCTTCGTTTGCTGGCCGGGGGGGGGGGGGCCCCCCCCCCCCCTTTCAACTCCACCCTAGCGCGCCTCGGGGTCAACCGTTCGAAAACACTGTAAATATCAGTGTTTTCAGCTCTTCCAGTCCTCAGCAGTGACCAAAAATCATGGAATTTACAGCGTTTTTTGTGGCTGTCCGGCAAAAAAACCCCCAAAAACCGATGGTTTTTGATGCGTCTCGGTTAGAAAAATGACCGAAAAAAGACCAAAAACCAGGAAAGATTTTGTCAGAAAGGGTTTTTGAGGCTTTTGGAGGCTTCAAAATTGCACAAAACTATGGTATTTACAGGGCTTTGTGCACCTTCCCGGCAGAAAACGCCGGTATTTACACGGTTTTCTGCGCTTTTCCAGCGCTCAACCGTGGTGCGCCTTTGGATCGACGGCTACAAAATACCGTAAATACCAGTGTTTTCAGCTCCTCCTGTCTTCAAGCGTGGCCTTAGACCTTGCCGCGGCTGTGGATCGACGGCAACGAAACCTCGTAAATGCCAGTGTTTTTGAGCACGTCCTGTTTGCAAGCATGGCCTGCGGCCACGCAATTTACAGGGTCGCCGCACGTCACTATGTAAATCCGAAGTTGCATTTGAGAAATATGTGACTCCTTTTGAAGGCACGTCAACCTGTATTGAAACCGCTAGACCGCTACAGCTTCTGGAGGTTTTGTCAAGCGTTTGTGCACTAGTCTTTCTTTCATCACGCTCACTCACTTCTCTTCAAACAAGTGGGGGGCCTCTCACCTCCTCCCGGATTACGCCTGATTCCCTGCTACCTTTCGTTCACCCCCCTCCTCTCTCAAGTTCACAGCTGAAGAGCTCACAGCTCACAGCGTGGACCTGCTTGGGATTGAACGATGCGATGGTCAGTCTCACAAATATGCCCCAGGACCTTGATTGTTAAACCCCCCAGCATGAAGAAAATGGACCACCACACTCACCACAGGTCATCAATTGATTCGATGGTCAAGGGAAGAGTTTGGTGTAGTGAGCCTACAGCCAGGTCACTCTTCACAAGAAAACCGTGTGAATCATGTCCAACCAACAGAGGTTGAAGAACCCTATAGGCTATCCCACCATAGTTCAGGTCACTTAACCTCTGGAACGAAGCGTTCGAAAGTTGGAGGACCTTCCAGTTCCATGCAGCGAGGACCCCGGCCCCATCATCCTTTCATTTGGCCAATCATGGAGGGAGTCGACTCGATGCCCGCATCCGGTCCATGTCTTCAATAAGTGGGATTTGGATGGATGTGTGATCTAAAAAAAGGAAGGCACGTTCTTTAGAAGCTTTTGGGGTTGAACCGGTGTGTGTGTGTGTGTTTTTTCCATTTGTTCCACCAGGCCCAGCCTGGTCGTTACACCTCCAAGTACCTCAGAAGGTATTTGGACCCCCCAAACACCTTGTCACAAGGTACTTGGAGGCCTAGGGGGCATCTGTTTTTGGTTCAATCCCCAGCGATCAGCTCCTAGGCCATGCACGAGCCTGTGGAGAGCTGGATTCCTTGAGGGAGATGCCATCGTGGGCATCCCTGGACGTGGCCGAATCGTTCTGCCCGTCGTGGTATAGTCGTGGTGAAGCATTGGACAATCCATGACCCCCAGGCACGACTAATGGGACTGGCATATATGCCGATCAGTTGGGGTGGTGCCAGGGGGGTCAATGTAGGCATATATGGCAGTCCCATGGAGTGTCTGGGACCAGTGCACAGACAATCCATTCGACTGGCATTGAGGTGCTTCGAACGAAAAGATAGGGGTCTTTCTGGGGCGGCATATCTCCCAGTCCCAGACAGGGACACAACCTGGGTATAGCTTGGGTTTGTCCCAGCTGTAACAGTCGCTCGGTAAAAGGTCTCGTCACTACTTGCTCTAGAGATGGAAAGGCCTGCAACTGAACCAACATCCGCTGTTACAGGTAATAGGATAGACCCAAGGTCAGAGTGTATCACTGGTCACTGGTCACTAGAGATGGAAAGGCCCACTGAACCATCATCCTCCCCGCCGTGGGAGGTTGGGATAAGTATAGCCGTCGGTCAAGGATGCTCAAAAGTCCTTTATATTCCTTTATACTCATCATCCACTGTCACTTGTAGCATCAAGCCGCTGCTCGGGGTGCGGGAATACCCCGAGTTTGGAGCCATGGCCTTGGCCTGATGCTTTAGGGAAGAAGCTGTCCCAATTGGCCAAGAGTTCTGGGCCAGGGTTAGATCCGATGTATTGGCAGAAGCTTCTCACTTCTTGTTGAGTCCTCAGTCCTCGCTTCTCAGGCCCAGTGCACACAGGGAGGTGGGAACCGAAACGACAAGCTGCAGATCGCTTTTTCGAACACTTTTTGCGGGTCAAGCAAATAGAGAGAAAGGTTTAACTGTTATAGGTCAATTGTAAGTGGACCCTTTCAGCCGTTGATTCACTTTGGAAGCAAAAAGAAGGGGCCTTTGCCGTTCCGCCTTCAGATCCCGGCGCAGTGCTCCGACGTGTTCAGTCCGACGTGATCACGACCTTCCTGTAACAACCCGATGACCTAAAGATGCGAAGGGTGTTTCATCAAAAATGCGAGTGTGAACGTGTCAGTGAAAAGGATTTCACCGGTGTTCATTGAACGTCGACCGTGTCTCGCAGGCACGAGCCAAGCTTGAGGAGAAGCAGCAAGAGTGCCGTGGTTTGGATTTGGATTTGGGTTTCAATTCCCTCCATCAAACTGGCATGGATGCCGCCCCAGAAAGACCCCTGAAATCAACCACCCAAAGGTTGGTAGCAACATGTCAGTCCCGTGGGTCGTGTTTGGGATTTGTGGAGCCAAGTAAGTCGCCCGAACAATGGTCCATTGTTTGGAGTTCTAGAAACTTTCGCCATCACGGTCACGGTCGAGAAGAAGACTGCAGAATGAGGAAGAAAAGGAAATTGAAAAGGCTTTGATGACAAGTACTCAGAGTCCAGAAAGTCTACTATAAGCGGGTCTTATGTCTTTTGGGCTTCGTTCCGCCAGATGTCGCCCCGCCGGGCCGACGACCGACGCAGGTGTGAAGGCTTGGCCCAAAAGCTGGCCGTGACGGAGGCCGTCGCCCGCGATGCCAAGCGGCGCTTAGAGGAGAGCGGGCCGAGTTCGCCGGCGCTTTTGGTTTCGAAAGCAGGAAGAGGTTCTGTGCATCAAAAACGTTCACGTATCGGGATACGTGGTGAGGTTTCAGTGGTGTGGTTTCAGTGGTGTTTTCCAAAAAAAGATATCAAGGAAAGGTGACAAGTGATTTATGTTTTGTTCCAAACAGTGTGGTCACACCTTAACTCATGATGTATATATTATAGATTCTGGTAGGTCCACTCGGCTCGGTGTCCCCCCAAACACCCGCCCACGTGACCGAACCGCGTCGGTTTGGGCGTCGAGGACTTGGAGGCGCAAGTCTCCGCTCTAACAGGCCGAGAGGCTGAAGCCAAGAGTGGCGCACAGGAGGCGAGATGGCTTGCTTCCGTTTAGGGAGGAAGGCGAGATGGCTCGTGGGGGATTCTGCGGAGAGGAGAGTTGGATGAAGAGGAGGTGGTTCTTTTTCGGTGGAAAACAGAGACATGTGGCTTTGTCTATCAGAGACTGGGCACGTGGGGCCACAGTCGGTGAAAACATGGATGGAAGACGGAGAGAGAGTGGTGAAACATGGGATCGTGGACGCAACACATCCTTTTTAAGTCTTTGGAAGTCGACCAAGGTATTCGAAAGAATTGAACACTGCCTTTGGGAATCCTTTTTGCTGATATTTATGGATGAAAAGACATTAAAAGTGTCACATTTGGAAGATTTATAGAAATAGGATGGAATAGGTAATAAAGGGGGAGATCCCTGTAGAAGCCGCCGGTATGGCCTGTTTCACAAGCACATTAGACGCTCCAAGTGATCCATGCGCAACCGAAATCCGGAGTAACCAATCTCAGTGCTTAATCTCGAAGACCTTATGAAGAAAAGCTCCGGATGACTCCGGAAAGTATGCGGGATGCGTTCAACCTTCCAGACAGTCGACCGACCTGTCGCGGTCCGCGGCCCGGGTGATGCGTTCGCGGTCGCGGTCTTGTCGCGCCCGGTCGCGTAGCAAACCGGAGGCATCCAATCAGCTGTTGGAAAAGGCGGAAGAGATGGAAAGGCGAGGCGTAAAGCGAGCTCGTTGGGCCATTTTAAAAAATGGTGGTTCGACTTCTAGGGGATATGAAAGACACAGATGGCTTGGGATGTGTGAAGTTGACCATTGATGCGAAGAGAAAAAAAGGGGGGAAGGCCCGGGCCGTTAAGGGAAGTGTGTTCGCTTTCGAAAAGCAGAGGCTGAGAGCGGAGAACCAAGAAATGAAGGAAGAATTGGCGAAGGTCACTACGCAGCTGCCTCAGCAAGCGAATCTTGTTCTGCGGACACCAGGCGATTTGGTGTGACCCATTTTTTCCACTCAAGACCAAGAGTTTGGTCTGAGCACATCAAGGTGTAATCTTTGGGCCTAAGATTTTTTGCCAATCAACAAGCAAGATGTCACATCAAATCACTTTAGGTCTTAGCGATGGCCTCCGACCTACTAGCGATGGCCTCCAACCTACTAGAGACTCTTGATTAATGACCCCCCCAATTGAATTGGACATCCTCTTCATATAGGAGGTTTATTCACTTCAAGCTTTCCTGCTTAAGAGTCTACCAATTCATTTGTCATCTGTTTTTTCCACTCATCTTTCGTCCCAAGTCGCCTCGTCGCCTCGTCGCCTCGGACTAGGTCGGAAAGAAGACTGACATCCACCGTGGCCCAGATCAATGGCACCTTCCTTAGACGTCGAAGATGGCCCCATCTTCGATCTGATGGCCCGAACTGCCGGAGTCGTCGAACCCCACGGGCCGAAACCGTCTTAGCCAACCGAGTGGACCGCGACGTTTGGACGAGAAAGAACGTGACGTACGAACGCGTCGTGTCGACTGCGATGTTCGTATAGTAGCGATGAGCCTTTGTTCCTGGTATAGCTTAATTGTTACGTAATAGCAGTATATTAATGGCCTCCAACCCAATAGCGATGGCCTCTTCTTGCTACTACGTATCTAGTAGTTTCTTGTTAGTAAGGCCAGGAGCTACTAGTAGTTTCTTGCTCCGTTGGTTCGTCGTGATGCCCTTGTTTGACTCAGAACGCTTGTCCGCCAGCGCCAAGTCAGCGCCCAAGGGACTCGGGACCGACCAGATCAGTCGACCGGATCTCGGGTTTGGGGGAGTTTCGCCCCAAATCCGCAGGCATTCATCAGCCATCAGTTTTAGAATCGAGGTTAAGTGACCTGAACTAGGACCCTACTGGGGTACCGAACTGGGATAGTCTAGTTCGGGTCCATCCCAAGATTTTGGAATGTGTTTGTTGGAGCTTGGACGGTCTCAAGGCTCGTGCTCGGTGGTGGATGTGGGCTGGAGGGATGTGCCAGTTACCAGGCCTGAGACCGGCTCCAGACCGAGCTCCTCCGAGCTGCAGAAGTTGCTGAAACTGCACCAGGACCTGCAGGCGTCGCCGCGTCGCGTCGCCTTCTTCCGCGTCGCCGGTGGCTCTCATTGGTTGCGTTGTGGCTCTCGTTGTTGCTCACTTCCAAGAAGCACCTGGAGTCCACCTGGCTGCGCGCTGTGTTTGGTTTCCCGCGGCTGCGCCGCTCCTGTTTGTTTGTTTTTTGTTCGACTCCGACGGAAGGGTGAGTCAGGCCGTGAGCAGCATGTGGCCAAGTTCCAAAGATCCTGAGATCTTGGGGAGAGTGGCTGAGTACGTAGACGTCATATGTTTGGCCCAGTTGTGTTTCTCATCGGACGACTTCGGAGAACCTTGGCCCATCGGACAGTCAGTCGAGGCCAAGACGAGTCTCAGACGAGTCTCAGACGATCAGCGGATGGATCGCCCCATTTCTGTTCATGCATCACCGTCATTCACCCCATATCCTCTCATCATCTCATAAAAAGCAGTCCGAGTCTCTGAATCTGTCCTGACCCCCCTTTTTCGAGATTGCTCCCGGCTCACGGTCAGGTGGAGCACGAGAAGTGCTTGAAATCTTTGGATGGCTTGCAGGGCGAGCGTCCGGGACTTATCTTTTTACGTGAAACGTTTGTCTTCCCATCGCTGAAAAAGAACAGGTTTGCACATGCGCAGAGGAGGGTCCGCAGGTTTGCTCGGAGAAAACATCGGTTTCGAGGTGCCAATTGGCAGGATGAAATGGTCGCGTTGAAAAAGACCTGTGCGCAGCTCAGCATATGTCTTGAGTCTTGAGACCACTTTGCCAACCGTTCAGACGTTTCCGTCAGCTCCTCAGGTAGTCAGCTCCGACATGAAGCAGACCAGGCCAAATAACCGCAGAACGAATCGGCAGGGTGCCAGTTCTGAAGATTCATTTTCTAAGGGCTATAACAACGGCATTTCAGCTTTGTTTAGTACAGTGGGCCTGCTATGTTGAACCATGTTGAAGCTTCCCTCCTTGGGTGTCCCTTGGGTGTCAGGTGAAGACCACCCTGGTCGCAGAAGTGGCTGGAAAAGCAGCTTCTGTTGCTTGGCGTATCCTTGAACAACCTTGCCAGTTGTTTTCTTTTCTGTCGCTTTCAAAAGATCCTTTGTAACCTTGCTTCTTTCTACTAGTAGCATCCTTCCTCCTAGTAACTAGGTCCTAGTAGCGATGCCTTTTGTTACTAGTAGCGATGCCAGGAGCTACTAGCGTCAAATGAAATCATATGAAACCACATGAAAGCTTTTTACTACTAAGAAGCTTCAAAGACCTAAACGTATATTCTTGCTACTATAGTAGTAATGGCCTCCAACCTAGTAGCGATGGCCTCCACATTCCTCTTCATGGGATAGAAGCGGCCGGGTCGCAGCTTCCCGTCCAGGTCGCACAGGTGGCGCAAGAGAAAGAAGTGGCCAGCACGCTCAAGCAGGCCCCTTCCGGCGCGTGCACGTTGCACCGGAAGGGGCTAGGGCGAGACGTTCAGAGCCCAGTGTTCGAGTTCCAATTCGAAGCCCTAGCCCCCCCAGCTGAAGGATTCGAAGTGACAGAGGTTGACAATACTTCAGTTCCTTTTTCCAGGGAATCCTCTTCATTTTTCGTTCACTGTACAAATTGCTTGGTTGGTTGGTTTCTGCCTTTCGGGCCTAGAAGGTCTTTACTGGAGGATTTCCAAGGCTATCACGTCTGACGATGGTCTGGACTGAAGCAAGTTGCAGAAGCCTGGAGGTTCATACGTCGACCCATGTTGACATATGTTGACCATCTATTCTGTTGGGGAAGAGCTGTGCTTTTCAACTGTATTCCAATTCGAAGCCGCCCACGGCCCACGGTCCTTCTCACCAGGAACTGGCAGAGCAGCAGCATCGCTTCGCACAGGTGAGTGAGAGGCTCAGACCGGTTTTTGGTCAGGCGAAGAAGTTGTTCGGATGAAAGGCAGTGGCTGACAGTGGCTGACAGGGTCTCCCTGACTGCGTCGGCTTGACTGGGTCAACTCACGCACGGGGGCGGAAAAAAGCGGGGGAAACCGTTGGACTTTGGGGTCAAGATGCCTAGAGCTTCAAAGAGGCATCGATTTCTGCCTCGAAGGATTTCTGCCTCGTTCTTTGGTTTCCGCTCGTTTTGATCATGGTCAAAAAATGCGCTCGTTTTTCCAGGTCTCCCACCCTCACCATGGCGCGCACAGCACCATGCACACACACTTTTTTCTGGCCATTGTCAATGGTGGTGATCAACGCTGGGGCTCCAAGTCGTCGGCAGGGTGACAGATCAACGCTGTAGGAGATAGGCCTTTTCCCACTCCAGCTTGTACTGCACTAGCGCTCGGGTCATGGTGCCAAATGCAATTGCTAGCGGATGTACTTTCCGACTCTGTCTTGCAATCCGTCCTATAAAATCTTCATCTGACCAGCATGCGTGGCCTGGGACAAGTGCTTTTTGCAATATGCATGCATGCTTATACACCGCTTGTTTTCACCAAAACTGAGCTAAACACAAGCTGGACTGAGAACTTCTTCAACTGCTGGATTCTCCAGCTGGATTTCCATGTCACGCCTTGGTGGAAGTGGAAGCACACATGCAGGTGAACACGGAAAGCTAGCGGCACACACTGGCTGGACCAAATGCCGTTGCAGGCACACGATGTGTTGCATCATGTGCAACTTTGGGCGCATGTAAAAAAGTGCCCACCCCTGTGTCTTGGACAGCCGCGCGGCTGCCCCATACGCTTCCTAAGACACCGTGCGAGCCATTCAACATGATGGTCGATGTAGCATGCATCCACAACACATGCAAACAGGATACGATCATGGCCCAGCCAGATTCAACGGCTTGCTTGGCATCAGCTCGCGGCAGCCAAAGATTTGGTTGGTATACGATTTTGAAGAAGCAGGAAGTGTTCTCGATGCCCCACTTCAAGATCGTAAAAAGGTCTCGTGTTCCGTCCTAGGGTTCACAGGGCCATGAGCAAAGTACATCATACCAACCAAAGCAACAGGCATTGGATTTCGTGCACAACAAGCAGCTGGTACCATATCGGGCGTCAAGCCTGCAAAGACTTCCCGCAACCACTTCCCCATGAGCGCAGCATCAAAGCCTTTCCCAAGACCCCTTGGGAACTGCTGTAACCTGGGCCATAGGTCTACTCCCACAGATGCAATGTGCATACATGTGCATGCATGCAACACACCACAAGAGACCATGTGTTAAGTACATGGCAAGAAACGATTGCACTTTCAACTCCGTTTTGCTGAATTCAGTGATGGAAGTTGTGACGCGGTTGCGTGCGCACCATGCTCTAAACTCCCCATAGGCTTCCTCCAGCTGTCTCTCCCATGCTCCGGTACCGTAAATGTTGCAATGAACGCACAAAAAAATTAGCGTCGATGCCAATTGATCTTTGCCATACCCGGCAATTGCATAGGTGTGCGCTAGGTCGCACTTTACAAAGGTTGCATCAGTCGCGGCCCGAATGGGTAGCAAACTTCTAAGAGCGGATGGGGCTCCAGCATGGAAGGGTGGTGGCGCAACAGTGTTGGGTGTCCATGAGCGCACTGCAGAAGTAGCTGTGCAGTTGAACCATTCCTGAAGGGACCCGGAAAGAATCATGCGCTTGCACAAATGCTACTACGTTCTAGCTATAAACAGAGGCCGCACATGTGCATGCGTGCAGCTATGGTTCTGTTGTGTCGCAGAAATGACACTTCCGCTTTGATGTGAACCCTGTGTATAGCTTCATTGCGCCCTTCAAGAAAGGCCAATCACCTTTCACTCCCAATATTTGGGCCCAAAACTGTTCTCGGCGACCTTCGCAGCGAACCTCCAGGCCAGTGTTCAACCAAACAGCGATTCCCAAAACATTGAGAAGCCTTGTTCAGAATGTCGAACTACTCTAGAATAACTGGTGTAGTGTTGGGGCCCAGATTCAAAAGCTTTAGCTTTTACGAGAGCTAAGGGCATGCCGTGGCCTCAAACCCATTGGTTGACAGCTCATTAGCATCATCCACCAAAGCTTGAAGAAGTTGTTGAAGGCTTTTGTCTTTCGGCGCGTAAAGCTCGGATGGCAAGACCGTATATAACATCCTAGTCGTGAAGGTGTTCCTCAGTTGGTAGCCAACCCAGACACGGCCTCACCTAACAGAAACAGGAGCAAAGTACTGTGTTTCTCCCAAAACCCTCAAACATGCCCCACCTAAAGAATTGGTGTAAAGAGCAAAAATATATGTTTAAGCTGCAGCAAGTTGCTTTTTACTGTTGACATGCTCTCCGTGGGACCACCCCAAAATTGGCTGAAAGCTGATGACCATGATAGGTTTCTTTCCTTGTCCTCTACCTTCATCACCGTGGATGAAAAAAGGGATTGTACGATGGGAGCGGTCCCCCAGGTCAAAAGCTTCCACATGCATGTATTTCCGCCAGAAGGTTTGGAGCATGACTTCCGCCTCGCGGAGCTGCTCAGTTTTGAAGCCCCCCAACATAAAGAAGCCACGGTGCACCCGATGCTCAAGACACACTCGGAGCCAGCTACTCAAGTGCAGCGTTGGCCAAGGTCGTACTTCCAGCTTCTTGCGCCGGGTGAAGGCGCGAGCTTTCAGAAGGGTCTGAATCGGAGTCACTGGCACTGGCAAAGTCTTTCCCTTTCTGTGGATGAACTTGGACAAGTTACGACTAGCATTGGTGAGGTTTTTGTTGAACTTTGCACAGTGGGCAATCTCTGAAACTCTGGGATCATAAGCTCCTTAGGCCAATACACGCACCAGCTCCGATCTCGATGGGAACAAGATGCATGGAAACTCGAATTTGGCTAAGGGTCCATGCTTCGTCAACAATCGTTCTGTCCGAACAGCTTGATGTAGAACATCTTTGGCAGTTGCCTTGGGGGCGGGGTTCATGCATAGATGTCATGACATCTCATGACACGTCCTTTCTCTAACCCATGCTTAACACGCGTGCAGATAAGGCACACCTTTGGCAAAGCTTTTCACCAAGTCGTCCGCTATATCATCAGAGCTGGAAGAACTCTGATAGCCTGCAGGGGGTGATTGAGATAGTACTGCGTGCATGTATCTGTAGCGCTTGCAAATCAACTTTGGTAGGCTATGCAGCTAAGGCACGCCTGATTTCTGCTGCATCTCCCCTATGACCTGGCAATTGTTTGCGTTGGAGTATGTTTGGTCACCTTGAAACTTGAGGGGAATATGCATGGTTGCCCCACAATGCTTGAACCTCATAGGCACAAAGGTGTTTGACGGAGGTCATCCCCCAAAAAGATGCACATAAGTTTTGGAAAACATAAACTTGTAAAGAAAGAAACTTGAAAAGAAGGCTTTTCATCTTGTCGCTTGATCATGTAGCGGCTAAGCTGACGAATCTGGAGCGTCAAAGTGTGTCACAAGCCAACGAACACGATGCATCCCCTCATCAACAAACAACATTGAGATAGCAATTCTTTACGGCATCGTGTTTAGGGCTTCCCCAAATCTTGGGCTAGGATCTATACTGTCTATACTTCAAGCCTTGGCTTTTGCCTTAGCTTTTGCCTTGCCCTTCGCCTTTGCGCGGGCAGACTTGGGAACTCCACTTGCCTTTGCGGCTGGGGCTTCTGTTCCGACGGTTGAGGCCGAGCTCTTCAATGTCCTTGGCTACCGATTGCTCCCTTACATTGCCAGCTGGGAAACGAATGACATTATATATGCATGCACATGGTTGCAAGTAAGGCGCTTTGAACGAACCAGCAGAGTGTTCATCGCAACGTCGAGCTTCGTGCAGCTCACAAACAGCTCCAACACACGATCCTTCTGGGTCCTAAGGGGTTAAAGCACACAATGATGTTCCCCGAACTCGCCCATGACCACACTGAGATAGGTCAAAGGATGTCAAAGGGCTTTACGTGATAGGAGTAGGTATGAAGGCCTTTAGAACTTTGATAGCAAGTCCGCAAGAGTGCTGTAACCTTGAACTCCAAGCTTCTTCTCCAAATCCTCTGATTTAACAGTAGCATCAGCCAAAATCGTAGTCAGCTCGTCATGCACGCTGCGCATTTTGGACAGGTTTTGCTGGATCGTGGTGGCAAGCCTCAGTCCGTGCGCGATCTGGGTGGTGAGGTTTAACAGGCCCCAACATCATGAAGTTTGAGGGTGTGCATGGGTATGCCAAAAAGGCCGACTAGGAGCGATTTGGAAGATGCAGTTTTCAACGTGTCCAATCGGTCCTACACGTGATGAAACCGTGCACCCACGCATGCATGCAGAGGGAATGCACATGCACACAGCTAGGTAAGGTCACGAAGAGTCCTTTTCCACCTGAATCTTGTCCACCTTACGACCCAACACCTCAATGAACTGCGGGAGAATCTGCAAAGGGCTGGCTGTTTTGCTGATCGTGGGGAACGATAACCTTGGATCACAAATCGTGCACAGAACACCCATGCATCATCGATCAGTTTTGCAGTGCATTGCATGATGTCATGGGCCATTGACATGTATTTTTCTTGGAAAGCAACTTGAAGCTCATAACACCATTTGTGATTCCCAAGCCCTCGCCGTTGGATGAGGTGCCTGCAGAACGATTATGGGCATGTGCTGCCAAGGCATCAGAGTCGTTGAAGTCAGGGAGGTTTGAGTTCATGAGGGTGCCAGCGTCGTCCTGGCACGCGTAGCTTCGTGTAACCCTGACCAACATCAGTTCCTTGCATGCCTGAGTGGTTGACATGCACCATGAAATCCAAAAACCCATTGCATGCATGCAACAGCTAGCCTGAATCTCGAGGGAGCCAGTCTGTGTACTTTCCTCGATGTCAGTGCTGGTCATGTTCCAGCTCTCGTGGGCCAGAATTGAAATTTCCTCTTCCCCATGGATCTTGTTGACACGGATTCGATTGTTTGATCTCGCCCAAGCCCACGCTTTGGCAATCATTGCCCTTGGCTGGTTGGACAATTGGGTGGGGAACTACTTCAATTTCCAAAGTTTTGGGTTGCATCATGAATAACAGACACCGGCCAAGTTTCTTTGTCCATGCTTCATTGGTCTCCAACTTGCTTTTCGTGTACCAACCACCCTCCTTCTTAGCTTGACTGGCAAGGACGTGTTTCTTGGTGATTGCAAGCTCCATACCCTCGAAGGAACCGTGCTCCAAGAACATTTTTTTCAGTTCCGATCCTTGGGCACATGCGTGTGATATATATTTGGTGATCAACAAGTGGAGTATATATGCTAGCTAGTCAAACTTAGGAAGCGTGCAAATGCTGCCAGAAAGTCTTTTCGTTGGGTCTTGCCACATCTTCAGGGCCTCCTCCGAACACTTCAAGCGGCCACCTGCCTTGGGCTTGAAGTAGCGGTTCAACCTGAGGTCCAAAAGGTGATGGGCGAAGGTTGAGGGTGCCATTGAGACTTGCCAAATCCATCCAAATCCACCAAACAAGCATTACAACCCAGTAGCTTGTAATAAAGGTTCCTATCCTCCTTGGGGTCCGCATGCACTTGGGAAACCGAATCATCCGCACCAATGTCAGACTCATGAGAGCTTGCTTCTGGGCTTGCACCACTTGCCTTGGGCCCCGCATCAACGGGCACAGGCTCAGGCATTGAAGACGATGGAGGTAGAACTGGCACAGTGGCATCAGGCGCTGGGGCCGATGGAGCTGGCACAGTGCGAGTGGGGCTGTCTGGTAAAGTATCAGGAAATTGTGGCTGGCTATCCGGGCTCTCCAGAATCATCGTGACTGGAGGTTGTGGAGGAACGGAGGGGTTCCCAGCACAGAAAGATCCATTCTGCTGAGCAATGTGCGGTGCACCTTACAAAACATGGTCAAATCAAGATCCATTCCCGAACAAAACATCGTGCAACCTGATTTGGATTGGCTACGAAGGCATGCATATATGCCGGCATATGGCTGATTATCGATCCTAAACGTTTGCTGATGAGAAACCTGGAACTGAAGGCTCCGGGCAAGCTCCTGTTGCCTGATTTGAGAGTTTGCGACGAAGTGATGCGATCCGCTCTTGGCTCGCCTCAATTTGCAAGTTCATTGTCACATGGATGGTATGCACCCTTTCAAAAATTGCAAAATCAAAGGTTGCTACATTATAATGCCAGCTAGGTTCTTTTATTTTCTCTTCCAATTCTCTCTTTCGGCTTGATGGGTCCCCATTGCCCTGTTTGACTTCTGCCACCCCATAGCACAAAGTGTCCGCCGAGTGCAACCGGGACGTCATGTCAGGTATCGGTGCGGCCTGGAGTGTCCTAAATGCCCAAGCTAGCCAAGATGTTTTGCAAAAAAAGAAAAGTGCTCGCAAAATCAGAAATCTGCTCGTGGGAGTTAGCAACAAACGGGAAAGCTAAGATACAAAAGAGACACTTTTTAAAAATGCGCCCTTTTGCGCGTAATTGCGCCTTTGTGCGCGTAATTGCGCTCGGAGTGCGGGTCCTCAATTTCCACCAAATCTCGCAAATTTAGGATGGCTTCCTTTGGATCCAACATAAATACGATTTGTGCTCGAGTTTGGAGGCCCCAAACCATGCGGATGCATGGAACAATGCAGCAATGGTAGAATGGCCATAGCCACACCACTATAGATCTAATTAAAGGTCTTGACATTCCGACTACGGAGTTGAGCTAGCGCCCATCATCTTCTCATACTCCGCACGGAGTTCCAAATCTCCGAGCACCTTGGTCAAGGTTGCCCAAACAGGTGCCCCAAAGCTTGCTGTGGGTGAGCTTTTGGCAGAGACTTGGGGCCAACTTGGGGCACCTAAGTTATAATCCTTGGGCTGAGGCACTAAAGCTTCATACTCCTCGAGAAAGGGAATCATGATTGGACTCCACTCCACGGGCATCCTACAAGGCAAAGACTTGTGAACGAGTTCATGTCTTTTCCCACTTCAATCCCCCGGGCCTCAGTTTTTTGGATGTTATGACATACTTCAGGGCTGGCAGGAGATTAGCGTCCTCCCAGCGATCCCCCATCGGCAACCGGTCAAACTGCCCAACCGGAGACAGCTCGGGGTTCAGCTCCGACTTGAAACGCAGATCCCGCCGCGGAGGTGCAAGAAGATGCTGTTCGAAAGCGTCCCGGAGGTTCTGCCCGAAGCCGCGGGGATATGACCTGGGCAGCCAAGAGAGGTCGTCAAAAGCGAGCCCCGAGATCTACAATTGGTGGTTCTCAAAAATATCAACAAGGTCTTTTGGCGACTTCTGGTCTCTCGTGGATTGATATGAGTGCATAGGAATGGGAGCAGGTTTGATTAATCTCAGCTTTGAAACTGTGAACTTTTCAATTCGCTCGTGCCAACAAATCTGATGGCGCCACGTTTGTCTTGGTATCGACCTGAGCTAGCAGCTGCAAACTACAACCATCTAGACTCTAGACAAACATGAAGCAGCTATATGCAGGTAGGGGACGTGTTAGTGTTTTTGAAGTCCTTTGTTCCTTCACCTCCTTTTTGAGAACTCCCAGGTCAAGACGACCTATTTCCTTCATATTGCTGTAAGTCACAGTCCGTTTGCTGGTTGGTGTCCCATGCAATAGCATCCAAAACTCACATGAATATACCTGAGCTCAAATCAACCGGTTGTGTGGTTTATCAATACTTATAAGGAGAGACAGATATACACCACCCCAAAAATACCAATATCCTAGGTACATAGGCTACAAGATTGCATAGCCACTCGAAGCGGCGATGCCTGTGAAGTAGCGAACCTGATGGCTGCTCCACCACGAAAACAATGTTTCTGGCTAAAGCCAGTATGCAAAGAAGAGTCAGCCTTAGATAACAACACACCAAACTATTTGAAGGTGCTTCTGAACACATCTTGACGTTCCATGCAAACATTGCATATGAGCAACCTACTGACCATCACAGAAGAACCCCGCACCCATCCAAGGAATAAGTTTCCATTGATGTTTACAAAGTTTCGTAGTGAAGTGCCTCTGGCAGGCACACCCCAAGAAGAGCAGTCTGGACCGCTCAAAAACAAAGCGTTGGCACCCATCCGAAGCAGGATCCAAACTGCAAGCCTCAGCCGGTCGACTCAGCCGCTCGATGTGCGGAGATGAGGGGACATGATGGGGCAGAAGGTTGTCATGTGAAACCTAGCCACACATAGCCCGCTGGCCCCAGAAAATCCATGGAAACCTTGTCGTAGTCCCAATCAAAGCTGGCTGTGCGATATCCCGACTCGGTCCTCGGATATGTGTATCATGGGGCCAACCATGCATGTCTATATGAGAGGGCTTCATGTGATATAGAACGTAATAGTCTTGCTAAGAGGCATTACGATAGATACAGCTTTTTTTCCACTGAACAGCTCGAAGAAATCAAAGTTGGTTTCATTCAAGCCTTCCATTTCTGGAAGTTCAAGCCACCCAACCAAAAGCACCTCGGCGGCTTCATACATGCATTCCGCGGAGTATGCTAGCTAGCATTGTTAACAACTGCATGTTTAAGTTCCAAACCAATGCAATGAAGGCCTTGGGCAAAAAGTGATTGAGGGATGTTTGCATGGGTTGGCTACTTATATGCTACTTGATCAAGGCCCCCACCTTCGGAGCTTGTGCGTGCTGTAGGCACGAAACTGCATTCCATGGGGTAGTCGGCATAGGAGCTCACGATATATGAACAGAATGCTAGGATCTTGACCCCAAAAAGCTGTGGCGGCACAAACCTTCCGCCCAGTAAACAAAATGACAAAACGCATGTCCCAGCAAGCCCTCAACCGTGCCAAGGCCGACCCGATGTGAAGACCTTCCTTTTCCAAGATGAGGCCGACATGGGACCTGCCGCGGGACAGACAGCCATCAGAATTGAAATGAATGATTTGGCCCAGGCTAACTCAATTCTTCCGATTCAAAGGACACCAGGGCTGATATCATTAGAGCCCAAGACTTGCATCTCGATCCATTTTCCCACCGACATCCATCGCGTAGGAGTGACCTATCGATATTCACAGATATTCACAGCGAGTGCTCGACACATTGTGTCGATCAGAAAAGCCCCACAAGTAGAAGACTTCACTTCTACCTCTGAAAACCCCTGACCGTGCTCGTCACGGCCACCCCAATCAATCATTCCATTCAGTTTGTCGAAGCATATGCCTTAGCGTTTGCAACTACAGCATGTGCGCATGCACGCCCGTGCAGTACTATATCATATGCAAGAATATAAAACGCACACGCATGCCGTCTAGATGCCTGTTTTGCAAGGGCCTTGGCTTCTTCCATGCTTTTGCCATCTTTGATCGCTGCAACCTTTGCAACGTGATACGCAGAGCTTTTGCGTGAATTGCGTTTCTTTCGCTCGTTTGGAGTCAGTGTGGACGACGATGATGGCTTGGCAGGTGTTTCCTTGGCTTTACGCGTGTTCTTTGCTTTTTGCTTTGCGGCCGCTTTGGGTTTGGAAGCGGGTCGCTTTCGTTTTGGAACTGGCTCCGACTTAGGATCAACCTTTGCAGACCTTTTTCTGCCCTTTGGCTTCTCCTCCTCCTGCTCCTCCTCTTCCTCCTCCAAATCCTCCTCCAGATTCTCCCCCTCTGGGAGTGATGTGCTGGCTGTACTCATGGACTTCCTCCCACGGCCTTTGCCCCGTCCGCGACCCCGCCCACGCCCTCGCCCTTCACGCTGCTCCTCTGGTGCGATCGGCTTGACATCCCTCAATGCATCCGGAGGTGTTGGCACTCGAGGATGGTGCGCAGGCGTTGCAAGCACCTGACCAAAAATTAAAAAGAGCAGCTCACTGGAACCCTTGTTGCGCTATGTGTCTCATAGGTATGCGCGTACAACCGTACATATCGATATCCTATCTTTCATTACTGGCCTCAACCGTGGGCTTCTCAGGTGGTGTTGAAGTAGGCGCTGGCTCTCCAACTGGTGCCGAGTCGGCTGGCGATGTTCCCTCATCAGCTGAAAGCTCGCCATCTTTGGCCCAAATGGATCCAAGAGATAAAGTCCGAGCATGCAACAATTTGTGCCTCTCTAGGGCCGCAGCGCGCTCTTCTGCCGCAGCTTGGGCCTTCTTCTCGTCCTCGGAGGCTGCTGCACTAGCTGCTGAAACCACCAAAGCCTCCACCGATGTACCCACAGACTCCAAAGGCAACGTGTCGGTTGCATCAGTGCCTGAGCCGGGATGGCAGTCATGACAGGTCGAGAATGATGGCATTTCAATAACATAACATCCATTTGGAGAGTGTTTTTGTTTTGTCAAAACATGTCAAAACCTATAGCTGCCAGGATGCAATTTGGTAGTGTGGGGTTGGCGCTCGCAGCAGTGGTCTCGGACTTCTTGAAGCAGCCAAGATCTTCCAAACGCAGCTGGTCATGATCCGGGGGCTGCTCAAAGGGGTTGTCCTCCATCTTCACATCCTGACGCTTGTTCCTGCGCTTCGACGGCACTGGGGGCGGCGGCATTTCCACCTTGCGCTTCAATTCCAGGCTTCCAGCCAAAGTCGGACTGTGATCTGCAAGCAACTGGGCCTGCTCCTCCAGAGTCACTGCATGCATCATCTCCATAGCCTGGGCCAGCGCCAGCTCTTCCTCGAGCAATTCCAAGGCAAGCTCCTCATCTTGAAGAGTTTGCAGAGTCTTTTCAGTCGAAGCCAAATCGGCGCCGGCTGCGGCACTAGCTTGGCTATCAACCACCGCCTTGGATACGGCATCGCGCTTGGCCGCCGCACTTGCACATGGCTTTCCATGCAATCTGGCCAAAGTAGGGTATGCACAGTCGGATGCACGAAGATTCTCCAAAGGCCCCAGCAGCTGACATTTGAGGCAAGAGAAGCCAAAGGTTTTGTCCTTGACGATGTGGTGTTCATTCAGCTCCACAGGCAAATCCATAATCTCCTCGTGCGTTATACTCGTGGTGGCTTGACCTTGCACGACAATGGCCAATGCACTTGTAATGGAGGTCTTAGTCTTAAAAGGCTGGAGATGTGACACATGGTTGAATTAGAGTCGCCTCCCATGCCTACATGCACTAGCCAAAAGAGATCCAGAGACCACAATAAGCTTTCTTACTTTTGCCATCTACGTTGTTTTTTTTTTTTGTGGCCTCTCCACCTCTCTTGGTAGCTACGCGCATATATGCATGCATGTCTCGACATACAGATTGCAACCACGAAACCGCTCGTGCCAGGGCCATCCATCCATGCCGTGCTCGAAGCGAGGTGTCTTTGGCCTGACAGATCCGGGAGGGGAAGTGTGTATGGTGTTGGAGCATGTGCAAATGGATTCAACAAACCTGGCCTTTTGTTTCAGCCCCCATATCATTGTTGGCAGCGTTGTTCAGTGGAGATGCTTCGTTGGTACCCTTGGTCTGGTCGTGACTGACCTTCTCAACGGATAGGTCCTGAAGGGCAAGTGCACCCTAAAGATCGTCCCAGATCTACAACAACAAATCTAGAATTGTGGAAAGCGAAGAGCAACAACATGTTGGGTTCCTTTGGGTTGACCACTGGGTCGGGTTCACCTTCATCTTCTTCCTCACCTTCTTCCCCACACCCTTCATCCCATGCGTCATCACCCTCATCACCAGGTGCTGGTACAGGTGTAGACGTAGAAGCGGTGTCGTGATCCACACCCACAGATGAAGACGAGCCACCTCAGAGCTGGGAGTCACTGGTAGGGTCAACCAATTTCTTCAGAAATAGCATTAATGCAATGCATATGTCATGCCCGGCCCTGTCCAAGCGATAATGAAACCAAAGTACTTCTTTCAGGCCCGGGAATCCCAGCAACCTCCATGATGGCACGAAGTTCCCACTCCTTTGGCCGATGTCCTCGTTTAATGGCACGAGAAGCCGCATAGACCAGGGTGCGAAGGATCCATGCTTCGCAATGGCATTGGTTGCCTTAGAGCTTACTTGCCAGCGATGGGTACCTATTGGCCCTGCACCCCCACAACATGTAAAGGGCATCATGCAAGAACATGCAAGTCAGACGGCTTAGGCTAGGCTAAAAATGGACATCAATTGAGCCCCAAGCGTTCAGGGAGTTTCTTCCCCCGTGGACGGCATGCTACCAAGAAGGCCTCCACCGCCTCCTGCAAAAGTGACAAAGAAGGTCGCATTCCTTGGTGGCCACGGACCGCGGTTCCAAGGAAAAAACTTTGAGCAAGTCCAAGGGCTACAGCCTTCCAACTCCCTCCCCGGTCCCTCCCCCCCAAATACCCGGTTGTTCATGTATGCAATCTAGGCTCCAAGATGTTCAATGATCGTTTTCACAACCTCCACATTCTGACAAACTTCCTTACGATCAATCGCCTTCTTGCTTTTGACTTTAGCCATACACCCAGTAGCTGCAAGATGGCATAGAGACTCGATGCTGTGCCAAGCTCCTAGGAGCTTCTGCACAGCTTCCGGGTGGATAGACATGGCCAAAGCTGACACCCTGATGGAAATGATCTGAGCCGAATAGCTTGGGAATTATGTAGAAGTAGCTCCATGCCAACCAGCACAAGTCCGAGAAAGCCGACGACAACACCGGCCTCAACTTCCCTCGGCCCAGGTGATTGCCATGAAGTACCTGTGTGCACTTCACTCACCAGGGGTGGACCGTGAAAGGGTCACAAGGGGCACCTGTCCGCAGTGCGCAGACAGCAGCAGGGACATCTAACTCCCAAGAGCCAAATGGCATCATAAAAAGTGTACCTTTTTTGGTTTCTGTACGTTTTCAATCATTTGTGCTCGAGTGGTATGTTTATGCTCGAAAGTGTGATTAGTGCTACGAAAAAGCAAATCGACACATATATACGCTCGGATGAAGACCTAGGTGTGGTTCACATCCGTTCAAGAAAATGGGTGGCGCACACCATGGCGCACCACCATGTTGAGCTTCCCCATGTGTTTGAGCCATGTGTTGAAGCCAGGGCTTATTTGGAAGGGAACGAAATAAATTGTTCGCACGCTCCATGATGCTCGGCTCTTCTTTACGTAACATGAGAGTGTATTCCAAGATTAGAGACTTATCGTCATTCTTCTTTACATGTCATCTTCTTTACGTTTTACGGGTGTATTCCCTATGAAGGATGACATGAGACTTCGCCAAGAAGAGACTCTCCTTGCGTCCCTCGCGCCTCCCTCCGTCCTCCCGCCTTTCTCGCGCACGGTGTCGCTCCACCGCGGCGTGTCCTGGAGGTGCCGAGGCCAGTGTCCTGGCGGCCAAGGTGAAGGAGCGGGTGGAAAAACCGAAGAGCTAAACTCTATTAGGCGATCGGACGCTACGAACGGGGCGAAACTGGCCTTACCTACGCTATAGGAGCTAGAAGCTACTAGCAACAAGGCCTCCAACCTAATAGCGATCGGAGAAACTCAGCCGCCCGGGATTGGAGTTTCTGACTGCCAGGTTTGAAGATAGGGGTGCCCATGATCCACGGCCGGTCTAAATCCCGACATGGAACTCCGTGTGTGTTTGTGTGTGTGTGTTAGCCCCTGTATCTAAGGATGTTGCACAACCTAATTCACCTTGAATGGACCTTGAATGACTCAGCTCTTGCGAGCACCAAGCTAAGTGTGTTTAAGTGTTCTGTCTTTATTGGTTTCTTTCGCCCGTCGGGTGTGTTCTTTCAACATATATAGGGAATTCGCACATGTTCCTTCCGTGACTTGAGTCAGTCTCCCGGCCCGAACTGACGGGTGCGACGAGCGCGGGGAATGCACTTGAAGGAAGAGCTGTCGCAACGCTCGTTGAGTGAGCACCTTCTTAGCACCTTGGATCTTGAAAGGAATATACTTACATGTTTTAGGATGTTTCAAGTGGTCTTCCTGAACCGTAGCAAGCCCCCGCGGTGTTCGCTCGGCCTCGTACTCAGACCACTTGTGAACGGCCTCGTTCGGCCTCGTCTTCGGCCTCGGTCGCTCCATCACAGGACCTTGAAGCCAAACTGCTGGGAGCACAGAGAGCGAAATGCGAAGTCGGACCCGCAGACCACCGATCATCGGACCCCCAGACCACCACGGTGGGCCTGTAGACTGTCGACATGTTGGATGTCGACGTGTTGGGTGTGTCGTTTTAGGGAGACCCCCTGGCCCTGGCTGGGTAGACTGTCGACATGCAGGTCTCCCCGATGAAACACACCCACGGTGGACGTCTGAACACGTCTGAAACGACGCGAGGCGTTTCCGCCGGTCGACCGGATTCGACCGAGGCGGCACGTGAGCGACCGGAGCGATGAGTCTGGGCGACCAGAGCGACCGGTGCGAACGACGTGTGGAAGAGGGACCGAGCTCGTCTTTCAGCCGATGGTTGGGGAAAGAGACAGATGGGTTGCTGCTCATGGGATCCTGAGGCACACATCCAAGCTACAGATCCAAGCCTTGAAAAATTGAGAAAGCCTCTGATTTTCAGAACACAGAGTCTCTGGTGACCCATGGTGCTTCTGGATGCTTAGTCGCCCCATCTCGGCCCATCTGACGGGGGGATGCGTTTAAGGGGGGGAAGAGTCAGGGTCACACCCAAATGGACGAACTCAGGACAGCGAGGGTCCTCCAAATGGCTCAATTGAGTTTCACTGGCGAACTCCTCATTCTGAGGCGCGCCTTTGAACAGTCTCGGGCCGCTGGCGAGGAGACTGTGAGGATGGGGTGAGGGCAGAGGATCTCTACCCTAAGCTTCCAACCACCATTAATTTAATAGGGTGTACCAAATCAACTAAGGATTTTACACTACAAACACCAGGTCAACAATTGTTTAATGATCTTGGAAGTTTAGGGTCTATATACTTTAATGGAGGGCTCCAACAGATCAAAAGAGCCCCAAAAGTCAAGGAAGCCGCCGGCCAGCCGCCTTCCCTTCGACCATTTAAACAAAATGTGACCTGCTTTTGTAGTGCGAAATCCTTAGTAAAACAATGATGGTTGTTTGATGAAGCAGGTTAATTAAATCAATGGTGGCTGGAATCCTTGGGGGAAGCTTTGCAGAAATGTTGAGCAGGTTTTTGGTGTTCACTTGAAGGGAAATGATAGGCCATCTGCTCGTTTGAAGTAAAAACGAAACCCAACGGAAGGTTTTGATGTGGTTCTTGTTGTTCGCATCATTTGTTTGCTACAGACCACATTGCCTGCATCGCACTGGGCCCGTTTGGGAGAAAAGAACCACCACCAACTCATTCCGGTGCCTCCCAGACAGATTGCCTCCCAGCCAGGGGTGCCTTCGTCAGTGCCGAGACTCCCGCGGGTGGGTGAATCCTTCATGTGGGCACCTCGTCACCACACAACCTGTCACCCCATGACCTGTCACTCCGTTCGGAACCGGCACCCCGACCTGGGACTACTGGCGCGACTGTCGTGCGAAGTCCGGTCGCGCCTGTCGTGCCGCGTGACGTGAGTGACGCTTTTGCCGCGCGCGGCGCTACGCGCGGTGCCCGCCGTCAGGAGCGGGAAGGTGCCGAGTTACGCCGACAGCTCCAACAGGCGGAGCGGGGGAAGGGGAGAAGCCGTGGGACCCGCCGGTTCGGGCGGGCGTTCCGGTTTGGAGCACACCATTCGGCTGGAGCGTTGCAACCGTTCAGGTGGCCTGTCCGATGCTTCTGTTCATGTCCGGGAGGTTCCAGCGTCATCATGCCATCATCATGCCCTATACTAGCGGTGTTTGGAATGTTTTGGACCAAAAAAGATGCTTCGCAGTTGTTTCGACTCGTTCGGGGTGTTGAAGGGCATTGAACACTGACGTTTTCACACGTCCGGGAGCGGGTCTGGCTGGGGCTGAAACACAGCCCGGTCTCCTTGGTCCAAAGGGCATTTTGCCGGGTCTTAGCGCCCAAGAGACTCCAAGTTTCACACCTGAGGTGGTCTGAGGAGTTTCACATAGGAAGTTACCACTGGAAGGAGGCTCTTCTTTCACCCACTTGGGTTTGCAACTACAAAAGTGGAACCCCCTTAGCTGGAAGTTGTTGAGGGATTCGAAGCTGGACAGATCCCAAGTCTTGGCGGTCACCAAGACTTCAGCCTTTTGAAAGCTGCTGGCCAGGGACAGTTTTGTGTTGAATGCGATGGAAAGACCGTGTTGGCCGCATCTGTTAAAAGGTTCTTTGCAGAACCCGTGGAAGGTGTCAAAAGGATCTTCCTCGGTTTGAATCCGCGTCTCGCCCGAGGCAGTGGAGGAGCAGCTGCAAGCCGTCGAGAAGGCGCAGTCCGATCGCCGTCCCAAAGAGCGGACTCGGAGGTCCGCTGGAGGACTCCGAAGGTCTGCGAGGACTAGCAGGGTGGAGGCCATTACTAGTAACACTATTAAGAAGCTATATATTTAGGTTGGAGGCCATCGCTAGTCGGTCGGCAGTCCCAAAAAGGACATCAGAACCTGCCTGGGCGTTTGGAAGGAACGAACCGATGCCTGCCGGCTGGAGGAATGTGCTGGGGCACATGATCCACTCACGGATGGAATGGAACATACTCCGATGTGGAACCGGGAACGCCGAAACACGTTCGACCAAAACCAAAAGGGGGTGAACCGGCCTGGTGTCGTAGTGTACAATAGAAGAATGGTTGTTCAGTAAATGATAAAGCCTGTTTTGAAGTAAGTTGTGTTATAACATTCCGATATGTTCTGTTTCTTCCCCTGACCTGCCCACCAAGCAGCACCCCCTTTGTTTCTATTCGCTTACCTGCCGCCTCGGATGCGGTGGGGTGGACACACGTCCACGGCGACCCGTGCAGGCCAAAGCATGGCAGCAGCACCTGGAAACTGCCCAAAGCCAAATCGCGGCCGCTTGGGCGCCGGTGATGGTCTGTGTCGGTCATCCGAACGGGAGAGAAGTCCTCCGTCGGGAGTTCGGGAGTTCGGGTGTCGAACTGGGATAGGAGAAGGATGGAGAGATGGAGAGATGAAGGACAGCTACTCCTACCGGAGTCCAATCCGGCCAAGGGCGGTCTGGCGGGTTAGACTGCCCTGCGCGACGACTGTGGACCTCCATTTCCAGACAGGAGGATGGGCGAAAAAGCATGCCCCATAGACAATCCCGACTTCGTGGGGAAACCACTTTTCACATAAATAAGCACCTCTTCTGTGCTCTTCTGGACACCATGGATTTGGTGTCACCAAGTGGAGTGTCCACGCTCGATGTGGTCGTCGACGTTTTGGACGGTGAACCCGGACGTCCGGGGCGGTTCTCCGCTCAGGACTTGACCAGCGAACTTGAGGAGAGCTGTGGGGGGGAACTGCGTGGGGATGGAAACCGAGATGGGCGCTGGGATTGTTGCATGGTTTCAGGACCTGGACCAAAGGGGAAAATACTCCACAAAACTGCTTAGTGAGTGTTTGTTGGATTCCCAGGAAGGGTAAAATTAGCCCTTGGAAGGTCCGGGGATCAGGAGTTTGAGGTGCATTGATGCTCGCAGGTGCATCGTTTTCGTGGTCAAGGCTTCATCACAAGTTCCAAGCCACAACCACCTCCAGACCAAGAGGACTGTTTTTAGGGGGCCTCCATCTTCAGAACTCTTCCACCAAGCTCTTTTCGATGGATGTGAAAAAAAAGAAAATGCTAAGAAAATGCGGCCCATCGCTAGTAGGTTGGAGGCCAGTGCTATTAGGTGTCCTTATTATTGTTGATTCTTTATTTATTCATTCCGTTTGTTCCTAGTAGCGAACCTTGTTCCTAGTAGTAAGGCCAGGAGCCCCTAGTAGCGTCCTTGTTCCTAGTAGCGAACATTGCTCCTAGTAGTAAGGCCAGGAGCCCATAGTAGCGTCCTTGTTCCTAGTAGCGAACATTGCTCCTAGTAGTAAGGCCAGGAGCCCCTAGTAGCGTCCTTGTTCCTAGTAGCGAACATTGCTCCTAGTAGTAAGGCCAGGAGCCCGTAGTAGCGTCCTTGTTCCTAGTAGCGAGCATTGCTCCTAGTAGTAAGGGGAGCCCCTAGTAGCGTCCTTGTTCCTAGTAGCGAACCTTGTTCCCAGTAGTAAGCGAATATTGCTCCTAGTAGTAAGGCCAGGAGCCCCTAGTAGCGTCCTTGTTCCTAGTAGCGAACATTTGCTCCTAGTAGTAAGGCCAGGAGCCCCTAGTAGCGTCCTTGTTCCTAGTAGCGAACATTGCTCCTAGTAGTAAGGCCAGGAGCCCCTAGTAGCGTCCTTGTTCCTAGTAGCGAATATTGCTCCTAGTAGTAAGGCCAGGAGCCCCTAGTAGCGTCCTTGTTCCTAGTAGCGAACATTGCTCCTAGTAGTAAGTAAGGGGAGCCCCTAGTAGCGTCCTTGTTCCTAGTAGCGAACATT